GCGCTAGTGATCATATTATGGTACTGGCTTTTTTCTTCTAGCGCCTCATTCTTATCCTTTCAAATTAGCTCTCCTTTCAAATGTAGATTGTTGTCACGTGTTCCCTAGGATTGCAATTGATGCTTCTCATTTTTATCAGCCGACTCCAGATCTCCATTTTCATTTGCGTACAAGTTATTATCCTAGACTAATGTTCCATACCTCGTTAGAAGCTAACCTTTCACAAGAAACAAACACATAAAAACAAAAACAAAAAAGCACATATTATGCTATTTACAAACTGCTCCTAAAACAACAAAAAATGCAATAAAGGTAACTACTAAACATAAAAAATTAATAGAAAGATTCAAGTATTAAGTCTTGTAATTGTAATACCCTAACACCCCAACGCGAAATAATACGAAATAAAAAAAACTACACATATAGGGTGTCACTCAAACACAACATAAACCTGCTCCATAACACAAGTTAGATAAAACATGCAATACTTAAACATCTGTCACATACTTGCCTTTACATAGGCTCATCACAATGGGAAATAATGCAAATAAAATAACTCAAAAACGCATAACATAACGAGTTACAAGTCTAATACTCACATCATCGACATTAGAATAATATATGGGTGGGAATACACACGAAATATATAGGGGTGGGAATAGACCTTTCAATTTCTAAGCAGCTTCTCATTTACCTGATTATCTACCTGCTCGTCTGTATCCAAAGAAGGAGCACAGAACCACACAAATAATATAGGGGTGGGAATACACACAAAATATATAATGGTGTAAAAGTATGCAATGGTAGCCTAAGTAAACATCAACAATCACGCGTCTCATTCACATAATTTCAACATGATTCATTCACTTCAACTATACAAGTATTCTTAATCACCATTAGTAACATAATCAAGCAATTACATATGCAACAATGAATGCAATGTTCTCAACACCACAACTCTACATGCATGCAGTATCAATATGGACAACATAGATCCAACTTGCTCCTGAATTCCCACCTTAGAACTAGAGAACACCAATTCAATACTATCACCATTAGTAATGCTTCCCTAATTCCCATATAGAAGCGATTGCTCACTCCTGAATCCATATTATTTAACCAAAACACACCAAAACTGGATTGAAGTCCGTACACCATGATGCATGATTCTAAACAACATAAAATATCACCAAACTTATCACCATATAATCACAATAATTATGCACAACATCACAACAATTGATTAATTTAACAATCAATAATAAACAACACCAAGATACCTCTAAATAGTGGCCAAACAGTAGCCTAATCACAACACAACATCAAAAATCAGAATCGACAACTCAATTCCAAGCAATTGAGCAAACAACGCTCATTCTGGCAACATGACGGGTTACCCGTCATCAGGGTGACGCCCATCAGCCGCCCACAACACCTCACATGTCATCTCCATGACGCTCGCCCCATAAGACCGAGCCTAGGGACCATGAAGGTCTACCCGTAAGCGCCTCAAAGGCTATGAACACCTGGTTATCAGAAACAAAATCTACTTTTTTGGCCATGAAGTTCCGTTCAGAACTCCGATTTTCCCTTCCCATCCCTCAGATTGAACAACAACATTAGGGAAATTATTGTCTAACATCAATACATCATTCATATATCAATTATCATGCATTTTATTGGATTAATCATTGATTTAAAATACTTTATTCATCAAAATCACCACACTTGTAGAAACACCAATTCATACCAACATCATTAACAAGAACACATGCATTCCATGGTAAAACAGTACATGAGTTTCACATAATACATCACATAATTCATGCTATCATAGAATTTAACTCATGTTCATCAATCATTCGTCAAAATAGAAAAATTAGGGGAAAACCTTATGGGATTAAGGACTTCCCTATTCCCAATCATGCATTCAACATCATATTTTAAGTAATTCTCCTACCTTAGATTACTTGCAAAAATTCAGATTGCTCAAGTTTTGCTCTTCCCTCTTCAAGCCCTAGCTTTGCCTCTTTTCTCCCAAATTTTGTTTCTACGTACTAACCCCAAAAACTCTCTACTAACTCCTTTTTATCATAAACCTAATTCTCCTCAATTAGTTATTCCCACCTATACCCTTACTCATTCTCTTATTTACCCAAATACTTTTATTGACTCTATCATTATTTTAATAATAATAATCCTCATTATTCTCTAATATTCTATTTTTCTACCAAAATCTCTCCTTTTATATTTTATTTTAATTATTAATTAAAATAGCTATAATTCTTATTATTTTAATTATTCTCATCCTTCTACCACCCTACCAAGGCTCTCACTGCCAATGCCCCACATGCATATACAAATCACCATACATTTTTAATCAAAAACATGCTAAATACTAATTAACTAAATAAGATACAAAATAATATGATTAAATAATTTAATTAAATTTCGGGGTGTTATAGTAATCACTCATAAAATGTGAGTTATGAAATTGCAATCTCTACTTCCTCTTCCTTTACTTGCTCGGTAACTTTTAGTGTTACTCATTTTGTTCTACAAATTGCATATGTTGTTTTTTCGATTTTAAGGTCAATCGATATCAGCATCAAATTAGTACCTCGTATAAACAAACAAGAAATGCATTAATAATACCATACCAAAAAGAAAAGAATAAAAGTAGAAATAAAAATTAAAACTAAAATTAAAATTAAATAGTAAAATAAAAACTAAAAATAAAATGCAAAAATTTGAAACTAAAAATGTCGCACTAGATTGCCTTGTTGAAATCAACAATCTCTGACAAGGGCACCAAAAACTTGATGACATATCGGCAAGTGTACTGATATTGTCGAAGTAATAGTAAAAAGATCGTCTCCACAAGTATTGTAATTTAACAAAGTAAATATGTGTGAATGAAATTAATGCAATTGTGTGGGTTTTTATTTGATCTGGTTCCAAAACAAGAACGAGAAAACTAAGAGAATGAATTCAAGATGATTAGGTATTTTATATCGAATCCCCTTATTTTTATCTTTTGATGAACTGTGTACTTATAGAATTGCAATTAACTTATCATCCTATTGTGAACTAACAAGACCATTGCACCTAATTCCTTGGTGTACAACTCACTAACCTAAATAGTAATTCCGTAAGTCTTTAGTTCAATTTAGAGTTAGATTAGGCATTTTACGAGCATTAATTCAAATTCACCAACTTATAATTACATATTCCTAATTAATTACTTAGTTGAATGATTTGCTTTAGATCAGATGCGTATACTAACTGTCATAAACTTTTACGGATATAGATCGATTTGTGCAATTGTAAATGGAAAAAAAAACATTAAAATAAAATAAAAATTAAATAAGATAACAATGATAAAAGTATTCAATAAATCACAAACAAACATATGATCCAACAGAGAAATAATAAGGTTCGTCTCAAAAAGGCCTAATTTAGAGAAACTCAGCTATTTATTGATAAATTTAAAAGTACCATGCGTTGGTAAGTCATTATCATCAAAATTTATAGAAAAGTAGCTCTTCAATGACTCTAATTCTCTCAAAATATGTCTCTTAAATATTCTTAGTTGTCACTTTATCTCCAAGTTTCAGAACTCTCAAAAAGTTAGCAAAAAGGCCTCGAAATAGCCATTTTGTGTGTCGGTAAAAAGAGCGCCAACGCACCATAATGTTGTTGTATTGCACCGCGATGCAAGCTTCGTCGCGTCACAATGGGATGCATCGCGTGCACAAGAATTCCAGGGGCCACATGCTTGTTTTCTTCACTTTTTCTTCAATATTTTCACTAAGTCTTTATTTCTTCCTTATGATAGAATTTTGCTAAATTCTTCACACTTTGGTCTGACTTTTGCTCATTAACCTTCCTATTTCATCAGAATTTTCTTGTAAAATCACATAATGATGATTGTCATTAGCACACGTCTAGAATAGTACGAAGCAACACAAAAGAAAGACTCACATTTAATGTGCATGTCCACCACTCCCACTGATCCGACGGGTCAAGTCTTATTCATAGGTAATTTGGTAATTCTAGGTCGAAACAACTTTTAAAGGTTCTCGTTCAACACTTCATGATAATCCTTGAGGACAACTATTTTGAGTCGGTCGAAGGCCCAATAAGAAGAGACCCATTAGCGCTTCAAAGGAGGTCTAATAACTCGCTCAATCTAAGAATAAATACTCGTACGCACGTTAGATCCTATGTACATTCATATTTTCTACATTTCACTCTACCTCCTTTTAATCTCTATCACTGACTAGGATGTTGGAATTTTAACCTTACATGTCTATGATCCACCAAACCAAAGACTTGCAACATCACACTATGAGTCCAACTTCTTAACTCAAGGATAATTCCAATTCCTATCTAGAGCAACAAGTAAAAGAATATGTTTGAATTTTAACATCCAAACCGAATACATCCCATATTACAAGAGAGTTCAAAGTCTACTCGAAACACATCAAATGAACAATTAACTCCGAAATTCAACACCCGTAAGGTGAATTCATATTTTATAATCCTACCATATTTTTTTCTTTGCATTTGCCATGATTATTAGATTGGATTTGTTATATTTTGTTAGGTCCGCATTTCAATTTTGGAACGGTGGGAAAAGATAATTTTGAGTTGCTATATGGTTTGAGAATAGTATACGAGGGTAGAGCCATAAAAGTAAAATATAAAACTTCACTAAATAGCCTAAAATTAAAAGGTCAAATTGAGAGCTTTGATTGCAAAACTAAATCAAACAAAAACTTATGACTTCACCTTGGAATGAGTAACAGAATCAAAAACATTTAACCAAAAAACCATAGAAATTCAATTAACCTCGACATTATAAGCATATCGTAATTGAACATCAATATAATATATAAACATGATAATCCTCTCAGCTCTTGAAAGTTGTTTAGTCAAAGGATAATGCATCAACATCTTGAAGTTTACAACAAAACAAAGCATAACAAAGAAGCTATCTATGATTCAAGCTGAGCATACCAAACACCTTGGATCTTAACATCCTTTGGAGCTTTTGCTCCCAAATCAGTATCAGATGGCTGAATACTCTCAAACACACCAATAACCTCACCAGTCTCAGGCTTTGTCTGAGTAACACTCAGTGTGATTTTCCCTTTTGATGATGCAGCACTCTTGTTGTTTTCCTTTCCAAGTTCTTCTTCGTCACCTCTTCCACCGGCTGGCAACGCAACCGCGTTGTCATAACCGGTAGATGCACCTCTTCCCTTTGGGTCCAAGAAGGAGCTTCCTCTGTATGATGGTACCAAGAACTCGCCGCTGAAGCTATCAGGTTTCCCTGATGCTACCAACTGCTTGATGGTGAAAAGGAACGGAACACGCTCCCCTCCAGGAAGCTGAACGGTCACTGCAGCGTAATCAATTCCGTCTTTCTCCTCGAATTTCACACTCCCGTCTGCTGAAACCTCGAAGGGCCCTTCAATCTCGTCGAGCGTGTAGGTTAAACGCGTCATGAGCTTGGTGTTTTGGAATGCGAGTGGAGTGTTTTTGGTTACGCCTTCTGATTTTACTGTGAATGAAGTTGGTTCGAGGCAGAGTTTCTTGGCGTTGTATTTTCCTGCCTTGAAGGCGAATGAGTCTACTCCTCCATCAATGGTTGGACATTGGTTTGCTGTTCCTGTTCCTTTGACTTCCAAGTATGTCTTGCTTTGGATTTCGTCGAAAGTTAGCCTCTTCGGAGCACCTTCTGCACTTGCTCCCTGAATTCATTTATGTTCTTATTCTTAGACATCAACAAGCAAGCCAAATAGTAATCACTTAACAAATTTATCAGTTATCGAATTCGGTAATTACATGGTTGATCCTTGCATAAATTACTATCTCATTCAAATGGATTTGAATCCTCTCCCGTGTCTGCAATCAAACGTCAGTCATTGACGTTTGGTTACTAAACAAGAGAGGATCCGAAGTGAATTCAAGGTCCTTTCAAGTTCAGACTTTATTAATTTGTAGTAGCTACTTCAAACCAACATAACATTCATCACAACTAATCTAAGAGTTCAAAACATGATAAAATTAGCAACACTTAGTGCATGAAAATTGCTAGGAATCTAGGATAGTGTAGTAGTGAAACCATTTACTTAACTATTCAATATGCATGCAATTTGTAGAAAGAAAAAATGAAGAAAAGGAATAGAGGTAAAGGGACATACAGAGACAACAAGAGCAGAAGTGGCAAGAGCAAATCCTGCAATCTTAGAAGCCTCAACACACTTGTAAGCCAACTCCTTGAAATCAGACTGAAGGGAACAAGTAACCTTAGCTCCATAGTGTTCCAAACCAAAGGCCTTAGAAACAGATTGGTTAGACTTAAGCTGCAAAGTGTTGCTACGCAGCTTTGTAGGTTGCATGAGAGTAGCAGCTGCTTGAAGTGAGGCTGCCATGGCTGCTGTTAACTATTTTCTGTTCTCCACAAACAAACTAGTTTTCAAGAGTTTTTGTGTTGGTTGAGAATGTGAAGGTTGCAATTATTTGGTGGCTATGGTGTGAGTAAGATTTTGGATAGGATAAGGTGGTATCTCATTGGATGGTTTAAGGTAATGTTAAATGTTTTGTTGGATGCCACGTGGCAATGTTGTGGATTCGGATAGAGATACTGTCTGTCAATTTTGTGGTGACTGGATTTTAACCACAGACTTCTTACATGTTCATTTATAAACTAGGGGGAACATGGAATTAGTAATACTTTACAGTAATGTATTTAAGTAGAGAGAAGCACTATAGGAAATTTATAATACTACCTCATGTACAAATTATAAGAATATTTTTTTAACATGTAGTTTGAAACATATTAAAACTTATCTTCATTTATTAAGTAACATAATTTTCTTAAGAAAAATACAATGAGTTTTGTTTTTTCATAAACAAAAAATTTCAAGTACTCGAGAAAAAATGAGATAATTTTATTTTTTATTTAAATATATTTGTTGTGATTGTGATAATTCAAAATTCAGTTTTATTCTTTATAAAAAATTTTAAAGAATGATTTTTTAAAATTTTTCATCCTTAATTTTAGTCTCATTTATTTATTCTTAACAGAAACTACTTATGTGTCATGCTAAATCACTTAAAGTTAACGTTAAACTTAATTAAAAAATATATATGTTCGACTGTGGGGTTACAAACTCATTTAAAATAATTGAAATCTAATAAAACCACAACACATGATAATGCCTTGAAATTGTTTGATGAAATGACTGAGAGAAATGATTCCACATGTTTCTTTCTACCTTCCTTCTGAATCAATTTGCAACCAAACTAATGTTTTGCCACCATTGCTACCAAACTATGCATATCACCAAACTAATATTATGCTTCTGTTACAACCACAAAACATTATAGATTAAGAAATAACAAATGTCTTTGAGTAATTATGTTCTCAAAGAATGCAACAACAACTATATTTTGTTCAACATCAAATAATAATAATAATAATAATAATAATAATAATAATAATAATAATAATAATAATAATAATAATAATAATAATAATAATTATTATTATTATTATTATTATTATTATTATTATTATTATTATTATTATTATTATTATTATTATTATTATTATTATTATTATTATTGTTTTGGCCTGAGTCCCGACTTTACCGGGCAGGTCCAGCCCAATGATACTTAGTTAGGCCCAATCTAATTCGGGTTACATCCGTCGAGCACATGATTCCTGCCGGGCAGACAATCACTATGTCAGAATTGACTTTTAGCAGCGCATATAAAGACAGCGCTTTTAGAAAAAGCACTGCTAAAAAGTAATTAAAAAAAACAGCATACCTAAAACAACGCTTTTAAAAAAAGCGCTGTTAAAGGGGTACACTAAGAAAGCGCTTTATTTAAAGCGTTGCTCAATGCATGGCCTAAGACAACGCTTTTGTAAAGCGCTGATGTAGGTTGATAGAAAGAAAGTGTTTTCATTCTAAAGCGCTGCTATATGCTTTTGCAAAGAAAGCGCTTTTCCAAGCGCTGTTGTAGGTATTAAAAAGCGCTGTCATAGGTGTTATTAGAATTAATTTAAAATATCACATAATTTTTTAAAGAAACATAACAGAGCTCGTGTATTCATTTTTTCTTTCTCCTCTGTGACGAACCAGAACGCCTACTCACCACGACCGTCGCCCTCCTCCGTCCGACAGTTGCGCCTCCGTCGCCCTCCTCCGTTCTGTTTGTGTTTCATTTCTCCTCCATTTAACCGTCTTTTTTCTACAGCATCCTCTGTAGCGCATTTCCGCCATTGTTACGGTATTTGAAGTTTTTCATTATGCATTTTTCTGGATTATTGTCTTAATATTTCATTTTTCTGGATTATATGATGTTAGTGTTACTTCTTTTCTGAGTTATTGACTTGTTTTTGTTGATACCGTTGATGAGAATTACTCTTTTGATATTGGCTTGAGTTTTGTATACAAGGTGTTTGTTGAAATGCCACAATGAATTTATTTATGTTAACTTTCAGTATATCTAGCAGTATACAAGGTGTTTGTTGAAATGCCACAATGAGTTTTGTATACAAGGTGTTTGTTGAAATGCCACAATGAGTTTTGTATACAAGGTGTTTGTTGAAATGTCACAATGAGTTTTGTATACAAGGTGTCTGTTGAAATGCCACAATGAATTTACTCTTTTGAATATAATGTGTTCTTATGTATTTTTAACTATTGCTTTGAGAAGTTTCTTTAGAATGTGACCATGTTTTTTAAAACGTTTTTGTTTGTTCTTTTTATGAATAGATCAAACACATGTTTGTTGTTTTATGCTTTGTTAATGAGTGAGAGTGAGGTATAACAAATAAGTTCTTTTTATTATTACAAATAAGTAAATGTGAACTCATATAAAGTGTATTATACAATATGATCTTTAGCACTTTATATGAAGTTCTTTTTATTATTACATATTAATTACAAATAAAAATTTTACACTTTATATTAATTTTTATAATATGTAATTGTTAGCTCCTAAATTTGACGTCTCAGGTAGAAAGAAGGTATTTAAGACAAAAGGGTAAAAAATAGGTTGAGAACAAAAGAATGGTCGAAAGAAGCAAAATAGCCAAGTCGAAGGACTCACCCAGAAGCCAAGAGTTCGACCGCCTGCTGAGAAGAATGGTTTGTCGAAGGATTTGAAATTTAAATATTGGAGGAAACGGTTTTGCTTGCTGAATATTGAGGGAGACACGTGTCAGTGGATCCATGCATTTGTGACAAGTGGCGAAAGGAGATTATGGTGGAGGTTATTTTTTATTACTATAAATAGGGTGTCTTAGACATATCCAAAGGGTGTTGTAATTTACTATTGTACAAATTACTCTTGAAATTACTCCAAGTATCCGAGTGTAGAGAAAGTGAGTATTGTAAGAGAATGTACGTGATGTAAACACACCATCTTTTAACTTAATGCAATTTACTTGTTTTACTTTAAGTTTTACAAAGTCTTTTATTGTCTTTACCCCTTTTCCTCCTTACTTTATCTCTTCCCTGCCTATGCAATTCTTTTCTCTTCGTCCTCAATCTAACTTCTTTTCTCCCAACAAACTTTCGTCTCCTTTATTAAAAGCTTCGTTTTGTCTTTAAATTCACCCGTAGTCGAATAGATGTTCCTTTAGAATTCTCTCACCCCAATACTGTTCGAGTGTGGAACTTGAATAGATTCTTAAAGCAAAAAATAAATCTTTTAGCACATGTCCTAGGATCAATCTGATCGATCCTGTGAGTCACCAAAGTTAGATTTGGAAGATCAGCGATTGTTTTCCGATTTTCAAGGGAAACAGTAATAGCACTTTATAAAGTGTATTATAAAAAGAACTCATATAAAGTGTACTATTGTCTAATTTTTACACTTTATATGAGTTCTTTTTACTAATAATTAATATGTTAGTAAAAATTGTATAAAATTTTAGAAAAATATAAACTCAACCATAATTTTAAATTTACTAAAATATTTGGGGTTATCATAATTTTAAATTTAATAATAAAAAGTTAGTATCCAAGTAATATTCATTCATGACCTCTTTAGCCATATAAATTGCTAATTAATTAATTTTATTGCAAGTTTTATCAATAATTGATGTTTCAAGAATTATTTAATGTTGATGATGTTATTAATTTTGTCTGTTATAGGGGTTACCTGTGAAGAGCAAGGTTGTGATCGTTTTCAAGCATCCTACTATGTAGCTTTCTTAGAAGTTATTGATTTCTTTACATGTATTCTCTGTATTTGTTTAACTTTCTTAGTTTAGTTTAGACTACTCAATTAGTATGGATAAAAAATGGATGTCTTCCAATCGATTGTCTAAAGAGTACGAGAATGGGGTATCGAAATTCGTTAAGTTTGTTGTTGAACACACCAAAGACCCCAGTAGGATCACATGTCCTTGCTTAGGTTGTTGTTATGGGCGTCGAATTGACGTCGTTCAGTTGGAATCTCATTTAATGAGATATGGAATTGATCAAAGTTATACATGTTGGACATTACATGGTGAGATAAGTAACGAGAATGTCGAACCCGGGGATAATACAGCCTATGCTTCAAAGGACAATGGCAGAGATACATATGATTGTGATCGAGTCGAAGAGATTGCAGAAGCACTTGAAGAAGATCTTCAAGATTTTCCCAAGATGTTTGAGAGATTGGTAAGCGATGCAGAGAAACCGTTGTATAAAGGTTGCACTACTTTCACAAGATTGTCTGCAGTATTAAAGTTGTACAACTTAAAGGCGGGTAATGGATGGTTGGATAAAAGTTTCACAGAGTTGTTAGCCCTACTTCAAGAGATGCTTCCGGAGGATAATGTTCTTCCCAGTCGAACCTATGAAGCTAAAAAAATGTTATGCTCTATTGGCATGAGCTATGATAAGATACATGATTGTCCAAATGATTGCATTTTGTTTCGAAATGAATATGCATCATTAAACGAGTGTCCTAAATGCGGTGTATCTTGGTATAAGAAAAAGTTGTCACCAGCAAAAGTTTTATGGTATTTTGCTATAATTCCGAGATTTAGACGCATGTTTCGTAGTGAAACAGATGCAAAACACCTGACTTGGCATGCAGATGATAGAATTATAGATGGGAAGTATCGACATCCGGCAGATTCACCACAGTGGATGAAAATTGATAATGAGTATCCTGATTTTGGAGAAGAAGCTAAAAACCTTCGCTTGGCATTATCGACTGATGGAATGAATCCGCATGGTATGCAAAGTATCTCATATTCCACCTGGCCTGTAATTATTATGATTTATAACCTACCTCCATGGCTATGTATGAAGCGTAAGTACATGATGTTATCTATGTTAATTTCTGGCCCTAAACCACCAGGGAATGACATAGACGTATACTTGACACCTTTAATCGAAGACTTAAAGAGTTTGTGGGA